TGTCTCCTTCAACCAGTCCCTCACTCAACAACTGCGCCAGCACTGATCAAATAACCCTCCGCTGATTATTAAACCTTTACCATGAATTGGTAAAAGGAGTTACTGGTGATTGCCCCGAAATGATTTCATTCACCTTCTTGTTCACTGACTTGGTCGAAGATCACTGAATGTTCAAAGGTAAAACTGGCAGTGTTGAAGTTACATGTATTTTGGATGATAATGGCCTCAGTTTGGGTTCACTGTGGACTCCTTGTGAATTTCAGATCATGACACTTCTTCCTGTTATCATGGTTGCTGTATTTTGCTGAATTGAATTTGTAATGCAGATTGAACATATATTCTATGGTGGTTTTGAAAGTGTAAAAGAAATTATTTTTGACACTGTGACTTCCAAAGTGGTTTGAATACTTTGTGAGTTTACACTCCAGTAAACTTGAAGCAAAGAACCTGTGATGTACATGTACCAATCCATTAATTTGACCTGTTCATTGTAGTAGAGATTTAAGACCCCTTCCACGTTCACCTGCTGTTGTATCAGTGATGTTTTGCAGGGGACCATACACAGGGACTGAATGTAGCATCTCCATTGCGGACTGTCCTCTAGTCTACCCTTGCAGAAGGAGGCACAAGTGTGCCCTTGCCTTCCCACCATCCACGGGTTTGGTGCTACTCTGTATACATATATGTCATGGTAATCTGCGTAGGCTGCAGACAGTACTAGACTCCCCCCCACCTATTGTGGGTTGAGTCTGCTACTGCGTACCTATCAGCTTACCAATCTCCATCCCTCCTCCCCACACGGCCTCGGTGCATTTGTTCATCGAAAAAGAGGAAGAACATGGCAGCCACATTTGCGGGGGTCGAGTGAGTGAGTGAGGGCGCACTACTGGTGATCTAGATTTTAGCGAAAGGAATTAGTATGATTGAATAGGAAACAATGCATATGTATTGATGATCTAGTAGTTATGCAGAAGTAAATTCATCCCACTAGGTGGGGGAGAAATTGCAGGATCTTTTATTTCATTAATACTGTAAGCAAACTGAATTATCAGCAACATCTTTCCTTGACTGTCTCTTACAAATCTCACAAATTCGTGGTAAAAAGTTATATACTCGACAAAGGGCTATTTGATCACTGTCTGCAGTTGATGAGTGGTATGCCTTATCGGCAACATCTTTCCTTGGCCATGCCTCTGTGTATTGCTATTGCTGCTTTTTTGTGTGTCTTCTGGGGAGTAAGTTCAAATTATCTACCAGCCTCTGACTGAACACATTATGCCTTTCAGATGTGAGGGGATCGACATTTCCCTGATCATATCCCTGTACATTTCTGTCACTTGGTTCTTCCCCATGGGGAGTGAGTTCCACATTGTCATCTACCAGCCTCTGATTGAATACGGTCTATCTACCAGCTCATGGGATCTTTCCTTGATCAAGTGTGTGGATGTGTGTTTTTTCTGCTTTGTGTTTCTCCTGGGGGAGTGAGTTCCAGTCATCTACCAGCCTCCGACTGAACACATTCTGCCTGTTCCTTTGACTCTCATTTACGACTTTTCACCTTTCTGTGATCAGTGAAATAATCCTCGTAAAGTGATATCCAGTATTTCTGAGTCTCACAATCCCCACCCAGGGGAATCCCCACCCGGAGGGAGGAGCATGGAACACAAGGAACCTTGGCCTTGTCATCTGTGAAATCTGTCTGCTCTGATTAAACACTACAGAATATGAAACTTCTCACTCTGGTAAATCTTGGAACTTTTATTGAATACCTGATGAATGACTATGTTGCGCTGCTTGAAACCAATTCAGGAATGCAGACCGTATGAGCCCATCCAGTCCAGTTGCAAGTTTTTGTGGACTTGCGAATAAGCAGCACTGTCCTGGCATCTTTGAGGTTTTCAAAGAGACCCAGGCAAATCATTTGTAACCATGGTAACCATGGACTATATGCACCAAACTCTATGACTATTGATTGAGGAGGATCTTGTACAGAGGAGGCAAGAGGGAGGTGGTGGCATTGACTTCTATGGAATCTGTGAATGATGAGAAACCTTAGCACTGTATCCTAGCAACTTAACGGTGACAGTTGGTAACTGTTGTAATTAGATGTGTATGATCATTACTCCATAGTGCGTGGTTGGGGATATCAACACTGCCTATGTATATACACGTGTATACATGTAAATTTAAGCATTGTCAGTTTTGTGTCATTTGTTAAAGCCAGACAAGAAAAGAAGTCATGTACATGGTCTTTGTATGATCATTGTCTAAAGCAATTAACATAATGAGTGAAGTGAACAATTGAAATATGAAGTGTTAAAAAGCTCTTCTATTTGTCTAGCAGTGTTTTTTATTTTTGCTGCAAGTCATCAGAATCATGAAATTTGTTATCAGTGAATTATTGGCAACTCAGAGTGTCTTGTTATAATTTTCATCACAAATTGCTGGTACTGTCAAATAAAGGCAGTGGAAGAAAGCTGACAAAGTTACATCCACTCAGTAGCTGGATGTAACTTGTCTTCAAGGGGGATTGTGTTAAGTTTGGCAACATGTTCACATGTACATTTTACTTAGTATTCCATGTTTGCAAGGTTTTGATTTGATGCGATGATGTTGTGATATAACTAAAGTTCATTTGTGTCGACTGTAGCAGGAAATGTGTTTTTATGTCCTTTGTTTTTGTTTGAGTTGTCTCCAGATTGAGGTGTCTTGCTACCACTGTATGAAAAACTTGTATATGATTTCTGAACTTGTGCCAAGTAAATGTACCTTGGAATTCTAACGTAGCAATGTCACACTCCCAGCTTATATTTCTGTATTATGAGTCTTAAAGTTTTGCGGAAGTTGCTTGTATAACAAATGGTATAAATTTCTTCTTCATGGAAATTTCTTGAAATTTCAAGGGGGGGGGGCTGGCTCAGATCTTTGGGTACAAGTATTGGATAAAAATGAAAGTTCAGCTTCGTTTGTATGTATACCGGACGTATGTATCATAATGGTAATGGGCTCACTCGTAAACATTTCAATTCACACAAATGAACTTCTGTGCAGATGTACAGTGTTTTTAATGTGGTGACAACAGAGTTAAGTTGATTCCAAAGTCATGTGAGATAATTTTTTTCTGAGTGAAAGAGTTTGATCGAATCACCCTCCGATAAACATTACTGCAAGTATGTGAAGTGAAGGCTGTCAATCCAAGACAAAAGCATCACTGAAATATTTCTAATGTAATCCTGTTAAGAGTAAGCATTCATTTGTTCCACTCTATCAATGAATTACATGTAAGTTGTTATTATGTCATTTTGAAACAGCTGAAAGTTTCTTTTTAATAGATATTTTCTGTATTTATAGGTGTGACCCTTCATTTTATTAAGATTGTTTATACGCAAACATTCAAAACTTGCTGCAATCTCCAACAAAAACTTGCTTTGAAAGGACTAATTCTCTTGTATCTGAGCATTTACAGAAAAGTTAGGTCATTTTTGGCATGTTACGATTTCAGGAACAAAAGCAATGCCGAATCTTAATAGTTGGTAAAAGTACAGTACTTGACCAGAAAGAGCCAAAAGTCTTGGATGGATGACTTCTCTTTCTTGTGTTGTTGTCAAGCTGAGAAAGGCCCCGGACTTGGTGGCCAAAGGAAAACATTTATCTGAGTCCAGGATAGACTAGCATGGTTGTGTTTTTATAAAAGCATATCGAATGACTTAAGTTTATAATGGAGTTTGTTCTCTTTTTAGTACAAATTGTCTGGGTACTTGATAGATGGCATTCCAGATTGATTGCTTTTTCAACATCTATATCTGTTCACTAGTGTTCAAATGCCTTGCATGGCTATGCCTTACAACTTCCGTGCAATGCAATGTACGCTGACCCCACATGATTTGTGGTGTCAGCATGAAGTTTTGAGTAATGCTTTCCTGAATCAATCCATAACTGTCGCTTCATGAGTCTGAAACTTCATTTTGATTCTGTCCATCCTTTTATATGCCCAGGAAAAGTTTTCCGTAATATTTTCCTCTTTGCAGTACTATTGATATCGTCTGAAATATTTGTAAGTTACATTCACATCTTATTATGGAGCAGCTTAAAGTGTTTCAAATTTATTGTATGTTTAGCAGTATAACTGTTATGTTAATAAAGATATTTGGAATTTCCAAATGCTCAGAAAACTGTGTTTATTTGTTCATAAGTTGAGTTCCATGCTGTTGCAGAATAAAAGTGTTTTGATGGGGTGTTCCATGAATCGAAGTGCAATTCTTAAATCTTGATATACATCAGTCTAATGAATTCATGAAAACATTGATTCAAGAAAAGGCTTGTGTTTTAAATTACTTCCTCATGATATGAGAGAGACATAGGCAAGGATCTTCTCTTCCCCATGGACGCAAGTCAAATATTTGCGTTTCTCACCTTTCCAACAAGATAGAAAAACATGCCAAGACTTGTGTATCAGCATAACCCCAATTTTCCTTGCAACCTGTGAACAGAGCAGTTTTGCCCCAAAACGGAGATTTGATCCTGACCGAGTAGTTCCTTGTCAGCGTCAGAGCCCATAGACAGGACACGCTACAGTATGATGTGTAAACACCGCCCTCTCGATATTGCGATATTGCTTGCCCAGCAATTAATGCTCGCCTTTAACTCTCCCTGGCGTCAGTAAAAGTGAGCCATCTCGCACGTTTGTATTCGGCTCGGTAAAATGACGGCTGGTTAGCTTCCATTTCACACAAAGGCGTTGCTAGTCCACGTTTTTTTTTNAAACAAAAAGTACAGTGCTGAAAGGAGAGAAGCAATATCCCGAAAATGTTTGATGTGAAAGGTTGAAATAAAGAAACAATTCTCTAGGCAAAAGATGAATTACAAACAACAAGTACAAAGGAGGTGTTACTGCGTAATACGAACTCTGAAGAAACTTGTTGAAAGGTTGATGACGCGGACAATGCTTTACACGTAAAGCGGTTCCAAAGTGTCTGAGCCCCGGCCCCTCCGTTCAGGTGTTGTGCGGCCCTCTCGATCTAGGTCAGTAACCAATACCAGGAAATAAATCACATAAAGGCAGAAAAAGTGTTCTTGACTTTGGCCGTGAAATTGAAAGTCTGCACAAGGTTAGTAAATTTCCAATCTGTTTCCTTAGTTTTTACCGAATTACATGTTCTTCATAATTAGGAATATCATATTCAGCATGTTGACTAATCTGAGACCTTTTGGGGCTTACGATTTGGATTAAATTTGCATGTTAAGTGAACCCCCAGAACTGTCGGGGTATCTTAAGTGTTGTGATTCGGTGAAGGATGACTTCTGCTGCAGGTCTGGAAAGGTTCACTGGTATTTTCTTCAGTTCTAACGTTAGACCTACCAGTCCATCTAGGGGAAGAGTTCCATAGGCCTACGCCCAGTTGTAGTGACTTGTTAGCCATCCGAGAATGATAAAATGTACCAAATACTAGGCAAAAAGTCAAATTTAGCAGTGAACATAATTGAAGTATGACCTGAGAAAGCACTTGAATTTTTCCAGACCAGTCTTGTAAAGATTTTACTTGGATGTTAAGCAGTGTCTTTGCGTGGAATTCTTTCTTAAGGTCATTCTCAAAAAAGGGGGTAGCAAAAAGAAAAGATGTTTTGATCTGTCAGCTCTACATAATAAATGCAGCCGTTTGTGTGCTTCCCGTGTATTATGTTGCTGAGTACTTTTGCGCGTGCTGCGTCAACTAGTTCTTACAGTCTGTGCGATTTTTACAAAGCTGCCAACTTCAGTCCCTGCATGCCTGGGGCAGCAGCGTACCTATGTATGGAGACAGCGTGTAAAAAAGAGCAAACGTTATAAGAACACGCAAACCTCAGTCCCCAAAATATTCAGGATTTTTGGGGACTGAGGTTTCCGTGTTCTTAAGAGAGAGCATGAATCAAGTTTTGGTTGTGTTCTTTTTTCTTCCTTGGTTTGAGTAAGTGTAGGCAAAAAATGAGCATCCTGACCAACTTGAAACTTCATCAAATATTCTCTTCATATTGATCATTGGCTTTGTCAATTTGTTGAGTGATTTGAATGCTCTGATAAGACTGAAACAAACGGAGGCATTCACAAGTTTTCTAGTTGGCACTGTTTTAGTGCTGCAGCCGAACCAAACTAAAAATCATTGAACATGGCACTTTCGAACCGAACCGAACCGAACCAAACTGGTCGGGTCAGATCTTTGGCTTTAATTTGTCACGGCATGCACCGAAACACAGAATGTATGTAACAAAACTTAATAAAAAGGAAAACCACGACAAAAAATTGGTAATGAGGTGTGCCGCACCAGTGCCAACGCTGAGCACGTGTGTGTACACCGGCCACATGCTGTACAGTAAACTTACGTTGGTCCCCGGCTCACGCGACGATTGTAAAAAGCACGTGGAGAGAATTCACTAATAATCAACAGAGAACCTGCAACGTGCAGCATTTCCACTGCACACAATTCTAAATTCTCCCTATATCCAGTTGTGCTGATGTATTTTCAAATTGAACATTATGTTTGCATAACACAGGTTTACTAGTTGGCATTGTATCCTTTGTGAACTACCCACTGGGTACGGGAAATTCCTGATTGGCCTCTTTGTGGAAATGTGACGAAATACTGCATTAAGCTTGCCACCGATATGAATACCTGTCCAATAGGCCAAGATACAAGACATGTCGCATCAGGGTAAATGGCGCAGGCTTACCTTGGTTGAATTTCGTTAACGATGTTGCAGCTTTTGTTTTTTCACTTTGATTGTAAAGTTGGTCTTTCGAGCAGTAAAATTGCTTATGAAGTTACGAGCTTTCCTCATCAAACATTATCTATAATATTTTTCGTATCTGGCTGTGTTTGCTATTGTTCATGTACAAATGCTGCAAAGTTTGGGGAGCGGCGTTTTTCAAAATGGGGTATTGAATCACGTGAAAAGAACCAAAAAGTACAGTGCTGAAAAAAGGAGAAGCAATATCCCAAAAATGCTTGATGCGAAAGGTTGAAATAAAGAAACAATTACCTAGGCAAAAGATGAATTACAAACAACAAGTACAAAGGGGGTGTTACTGCGTTATACGAACTCTGAAGAAACTTGTTGAAAGGTTGATGACGCGGACAATGCTTTACACGTAAAGCGGTTCCAAAGTGTCTGAGCCCCGGCCCCTCCGTTCAGGTGTTGTGCGGCCCTCTCGATCTAGGTCAGTAACCAATACCAGGAAATAAATCGCAGATAGGTAGAAAAAGTGTTCTTGACTTTGGCCGTGAAATTGAATGTCTGCACAAGGTTAGTAAATTTCCAATCTGTTTCCTTAGTTTTTACCGAATTACATGTTCTTCATAATTAGGAATATCATATTCAGCATGTTGACTAATCCGAGATCTTTTGGGGCTTACAATTTGGATTAAAATTTGCATGTTCCCCAGAACTGTTGGGCTTGTTAAGTGTGTGATTCGGTGAAGGGTGAACTTTTGCTGCAGGTAAGGAAAGGTTCACTGTACTTTGTTCAGTCCTAACGTTAGGCCTATATATACCAGTCCATCTAGGGGAAGAGTTCCATACAGTCCTACACCAAGTTGTAGTGAATTGTTAGCCATCTGAGAGTGATAGTATGTGTACCCAAAACTTACCAAAAAGTCAAATTTAGCAGTGAACATATTGACGTATGCACTGAAATTTTCCCAGACCAGTCTCATAAGGCTTTTACTTGGACGCCAAACATTGTCTTTGTACGGAATATTTTCTTAAAGAAAGATGCCTTGATCTGTCAGGTCTACATAATAAATACAGCCGGTTGGGGGATTCCCGTGTATTGTGTTGCTTAGTGCTTTTGCGCGTGCTGCGTCAACTAGTTCTTACACTCTGATTTTTACAAAACTGCCAATTTGAGTCTCTGCATGCCTTGGGCAGCAGCGTACCTATATATGGCGACAGCGTGTAAAAAAGAGCGAAAGTTATAAGAACACGCAAACCTCAGTCCTCAAATATCCTGAATATCGTAACATACCGGTAGTT